CCTCAGGCCCCATTGCTAAAAGCACAGAAGAGATACTGAGAGATATTCTGGAAGCATAAGCTGCAAGGTTTGACAACTGACAATGCAAAAAAAGCCATAAACAATTACAAACCTGGAAACATTTCCAAACTTGGAAGAGGGCAGAGTCATTAACAGATATGGATTACTGGAACAGATGCCAGTTTTAAAGGAAAAAGATAAATTTGGTTTAAGATTGTTAGGGGAAAAGGATGTCCTGAGCATCCATATATTTGATCTTCATCACCATGGAAATGGTGTCAAAAAAGTGAAAGGGGGGATTGTTAGTGGAAAAGGATGTCCTGAGCTAATTCCATACAGGCTTTGTGGACTCCACCCCCACTCCAGACCAAAGCCATCAAGACACTGGAAATGACAAATCCCATCATCACCAAAGGGAGGGTGGCTGGGACTTGAGGGCAGAGTTAAGCTGTCAGATTTGGTATAAAATCAGACACTTGGGCCTTGGGGCTCGCTTGGCGTACTGGCTCTTGGCTCTTTGCCATCTTTCAGCATGCCACTGGGATTCCAGGACAGCAGAATGTGCAGGACTATTTTAAGACTTTATCTCCCTCTTTTCTCCCTGAGTTGTACATTTCCTCATTTCCCCTTCCCATGTAAATAAACCTTTTATTAATCTTTTGTGTGTGCCTACAGTTGAGTATTAATAAGTCCCTTTTAAGCACGCGGGTGAGGACCCACAGTCAGGCAACCCATTTTAGATCAGGGTTGCCCTGTAACAAGATGAGGGATAACTGGCAAGATGGCCAGATGGAGATGCCCAGTCTGGGAAATGTAGAACTTGGAGCCAATAGGAAACATCAAATTGGATTTATAAATTAGAGCAGTCTGAAAAAAGAGATAGTAAAAGTTTGAAAAGTGTACAAAATCATGCAAAATGAGAAGAAACCCAAGAAAGATCCTTTGGTAATCATATAGTACCTATATTGTGGAGACGGGAGAAAAGTCAGAAAATAGGTGGCCCAAACTAAGATCATCAGGAAATTATACCGTCAAAGAAAGCAACCACAGATGTTTTGTTATTTTTCAATTCTTTCCTCCTTTTGGGTCCTATGGCAAGTTAGGGATAATTAGGTAGCTTCAGGGACAGTTCAGGTAGGGACTGCAGGAGAGTTAAGGAAGGCGCCAGAGATAAGGGCAACAACTTTTGAAGAGGGTTAATCAAACGCCCCAGGACGAGGGACAGCGGATGTCCTTGGACAAGGGCAATAAAGAAAAGTCTGCTAAGATAAGGGCTGGGACACAGAGACTTAGTTCTGGGCACAGTGACATTATGGCAGTGAGTGAGACCACAGAGAACTAACCAATCACACAGAGACTGATGGAGCTTTAGAACAATTAGGGAGAGAAGGTGGATATTTCCTGAGGCACGACTCGGCTTGGGCTTCCTTGCCCCTCCCTAACCTGGTTCCATGGCCTGGGAGTCCCATTTTATTTCTGTTCCTTTTCTCCTCAATAAACTTTTCTGTTTTTTTTCTGTTCCTTTACTCCTCGATAAACTTTTTCTTTCTTTAAACAAATCTGCCTCTTTTCACTTGCTTGCCTGAGCATCAACGAATTCCTGCTGTGGCTTCGTGAGACACCAACCTGTTGTGGCCTAGTGGCTGGGACTCAGCACTGCCACTGCAGCCTGGGCTCCCTTCCCGGCTAGGAGGCTAGACCTGAAAACCTGAAAGTACAGTATTATTTTCATGACAACTAGCAATTTCTACAATCGTACTTATACTAAACAGGACAGTGATGGATTAGGGAGTGATGGATTAGGGAGATATTAATTCTTAAGATACAGGATGACAAAATATTTGTAGGGTGGTGGAAAAGGAGAATAAGATGCTTGGATGATATAGCACAGGTCTATCATGAGAAGATATCCAAAGTTTTGTGGTTTTCTTTTAAGCTTTAATGAAAATTTTGTAATTTTTAAAGTATTACAAATTAAACAAGACTATAACTTGTCTTTGTCTTATTTATTCATTTGTTCAGTAAACATTTATTGATCACTTAATACAAGCAAGGCATTCTCTGAGTGTTAAGCATATGGCAGTTACCAGATCCTTTGCTTTCATAAGGTTTACTTTCTAGAAGGGAAAATCAAAATGATAAATAAATAAGAACATACATTAGATGGTGATAAGTGTTGTGGAAGGAAAGGATATAGAGTTGGGGTAAGAATTACAATTTTAAAAGAGGTGAGAGAGAAGACCCCCTGAGAGGATGAACAGACCTGAGGGAGGCGGGACATGTCCTGCAGACATCTTAGTAAAGCACTTTCCAGGACAAGGCTGAAGTGGATCTGGTGTGGTCAAGAAGCCAGTGAGAATAGACTAACAGGCAGGTTTATTATAAAAAGAGAGGGAAAGGTAAAGAATGCTTACACAGGGACCTCCCTGGTGGCGCAAAGGGTTAAGATGCAGCACTATGAAGCTATCTGCAGCCACTGCAGCACGAGTTCAATCCCCAGACAGGGTGGTGACCCACATGGCGCAGCAGACCTCTCCTGTCTCACAGGCTGCTCCCCTCAGCAGTGCATTTCGGTCAATCCATCTGTTCTGTTCCCCACTGTCCCTGGTGAATCCTCTCACTCCCCCTCCCCCCCCACACACCCCTCTGGCCTGTACCCCAGTTCTTAGATGCATAAATAAATAAATCTTTAAAAAAAAAAAAAGAATGCTTACACAGACACAAGTGTCAGGAAGAGCTGTCCCTGAGAGGGACAGGTTTGCTAAAAGAGAGGTCTGCATAGTCACAGGCGGGCAGCCTTGGGAGAGCTGCCTCTGCTGCTTTGCAAAGGGAGAAAGTTGGCTGCAAGGAGCACCTGCATAGGCACAGGCGGGCAAAAGGGCTGCTACCTGACTGCTATTTTAAGAACAGACTAAAGTAGGAAAACCAGATAGGTGACTACTGTAATTACCTGGGCAAGAACAATGGTGACTAGGACCAGGTAACTTTGACAGTTTTATCTTTCTTCAGTTACCATTTTTTTTTTCTTCTAGTATTTCATATTAAAGTGGGTAGGAGGAGAGGGGTGTTTGTAAGGAGAATGAAGAACTCTCAAATCTTCTAGTCATAATTCTATGTATTTTCTCATTTATCTTTAGTTACACAGAATTAAAGGAAAGCAACATGGATGGCGCTGGAAGGGATCATGCTCAGCGAAATAAGCCAAAAAGAAAAAGAAAAATACCAGATGGTCTCACTCATAGCAGGAATCTAGAAAACTTAAATAAGGGACCAGGAAAATGAATAACTATAAGAAAGTGAAAATCAAAATCAACAAAAAACTATGAACCAGAGACACTTTTAGGGGGGCGGGGGCGGGAGGGGAGGGATTGGGGTCAGAATGGGGGGGCTGCAATTGTATGGGGAATATAACAATAAAATTTATAAAAAAAAATAAAATAAAATAAATAAAAAAAAAAAAAAAAAAAAAAAAGGAAAGCAATTTAAACATTTAAACTTATACATTTAATTTAAATACTTGGTATATCTAAATACTTAAAGCTTCTAAATTATTAAGCCTTCATGAAAATATTTTTTTAAAAAGAAACTAGAAACCAGGCCTTCCCTGGTGGCACAGCTGTTGAGAGCTGGGCTGCGAAGCTGTCCGCAGCCTCTGCAGCGCCAGTTCGATCCCTGGCCGCTGGCGAGGGTCCCACATGGTGCGCAGACCTCTCCTGCCGCGCCTGCCGCTCCCCTCAGCAGTGTATTTCATCAGTCTGCCTGTTCTGTTCCTCGCTCTGGCTCTGGTGAATTCTCTCACCCTCCCGCGCTTCTGACTGTACCCAGTGCTTGTACAAATAAATAAATAAATCTTTAAAAAAAAAAAAAGAAGAAACTAAAAACCAGCGCCTCCCTGGTGGTGCAAGGGTGAAGCTATCCGCAGCCACTGCAGCATGAGTTCTCCTGTCTCACCCACTGCTCCCCTCAGCAGTGTATTTCAGTCAATCCACCTGTTCTGTTCCCCATTCTGCGTCTGGTGTATCCTCTCACACCCCGCCCTTCCCCTTCCCCCCACACCTCCAGCCTATACCCCAGTTCTTGTATGCATAAATAAATAAATCTTTAAAAAGAAAAAAGAAACTAAAAACCATATCCCCGCAACGTCAATAAATTTAAATTTAGGCCAAGGTAACAACAAAAGTACCTGATAATTTATTTTAAAGACAAGAGTAATATTTTTGTAATGGCGAGTCACTAAATAATGACTAGTTCTGAAAGGTGTAATTTTAAACCTTCCACTCTTTCAATGCTATAATTAAAACAACAATGAAAGTGAGATCTAGAGTATACACACAAAGATGACCCGGGTCACACTGGGACATATAATTTACTTTTTCTATGGATCTGAGACCAAAGACTTCATTTATTTTATAAATATTAAAAGAGATACACTGATTATTTCTTATTTTAAAATACAAAGGCAACTAAGTCAAGTTAAACATTGAGAGAAAGGAGTTGTCAACATTGTATTAACATTATACTATATCTGTGGAGTGGCTTATTGTTCATAAAGCACTTTCACTACCATAATTTCATTTCAGCCTCTCCATAAACCCATTAGTATCATTGTTTTTAATTTAAGGATAAAGAATCCAAATTTGCCAAGGTTAAGGGACTTATCCCAAGGCACTTAACCTAGCAAATGCCAGAGCTGAAAACAGAACCCTCACTTCCTAGTCCAGTGTTCTTTATACTTTACCAACCTGTGTTATTTTTTCTGATATAAAACTGGGAGAATTATTTTCCTGTGCAGGAATGATTCAAGTCAGCACAACCATAGGTGGAGGGCATACCAATTCTGTATTGGTAGTACAGAATTGCACAGAAATTAATTAATGCAATTCTGTATTTGTATTAATTAAATTTTACCAATTTAATGTTAGAAAAATCAAGGATTGGATGTTTGTTAAGTCAAACAGTGGCCCTTTAATTACTCAAGGACTGGTTTGCCATTTACTTACCTTGTCTTTTTCACTATTTCCCTTTAGGGCTTGCTTAATCTCCTGGCATGCTCTTAAGCACCTCCACCAGAGGGCAGGCAGGGCAGGAAGACATGGTAATTTCTTTGATCAAAGCTGGAAGAAGAAAACTTAGGTTATCGTAATTTGGGCTTCTGGAGTCCTTCCAGATTTCAGTTATTAATGAAAATTTTGCTACCATTCTGCTATGTAAATCTAGAATAAACCTTGCAATAAAATGAGTTCAGAACTGGAGAACCGAATTTTATACTTCTTTATATTTCCACTACTGATTTTTCTAAATAATAAATACAAAAGTTAAATTTTTGAAAATACAACACTTAAAACATGCTTATTGTAGCATTATTCACAAGAGCCAGGAATTGTAAACAACCTAAGTGCCCATCAATAGATGAGTGGATAAAGAAGATGTGGTACATACACACTATGGAATATTACTCAGCTACAAAAAAAGTTGAAATCCTGCCATTTGCAACAGCATGGATGGGCCTAGAAGGTATTATGCTTATTAAAATAAATCATAAAAAGAATGAATAACACACATGATTCCTCTCAGATGTGGTACATAAAGAAGTACAATATACGAATGAACTAAATAAAACCAAAACTTTTAGGCTATAAAACCAATTAGTGATTTTCCAGAAGGGAAGGAGAGTGAGTCAATCAGGTAAAAGGTGTCAAGTTTATTAAGGATATAATTGAATTTTTGGTAATTTTTAGTAATTTTTAGTAATTGATGAATTTAATGTAATCTATATATGCTGTTGATTATAATGATGCACACCTGATATGTATATACTAAGGCAATGTTACTTCACTGAAGAAAATTTTAATATAATAAAATATAGAGGAAAATCAGCAAAAGGGAAAAAGTGGGGAAATGGGCAGTGAACAAGAACAACTTCCAAAGGAAATTCAACTGGCAATGAATGTTTTACTTCAAAAACAATTAAAGAAATATACACTTAAAACAAGAAATTGCCATCTTTCAGCTGTCAAATTAATGAATATTACAAATGAGAATTACTGGTAAGAATGTGATGAGATGGGCATCTTCATATATTTTTAGTGGAAATATAAATTAGTACTGTCTTTCTGGAGAGAAAGACCACATAGATCAAAATTAACAAGAAAACTGGAGTAATTTCCTGCCAAGCTGAAACTAAAATCTACTTTTTCCTCTAGTCAAGTGAGTCCTTACATGGCAAATACATGCTTATGACATCTGGTGAATGAAAAGCAAGTTTTAAGCCACTTCCTGCCCTCTGGGGACTCCGTGGAATGGAAAGATGAGGGTCTACGACAGGAGAGAGCAAGGGTTATAACTCTCTCCACTTTTGTGAAGAGGCGAACTGATGGTATAGAGAACTGGGAGCATCTGGATGTCTATGAGTCTCCCCAGATCACGGGTCTGATTCATACCTACAGAAGAGGAAAACTTTCTGCGGGTTCCAGCAGATGTAACATATCACACTGACCTACATTCTATTATGTCAGGCTATTCTGGAGAAAGAGGGTCAAAGGGCTCTGAATTTATGGCACTATCCAGTTATACTTGAGAGACTTGTCAACAATGACAGGCAAGCACGGACTGATCATTCATGCACTTTCAAATTACATTGCTTATAGGTCAAATACAACACTTGCCCTTGAATTCAAACTACTGCACAGATCTTGTTTATAACTTAACACCTACTGACTTCAGCTAATTTAAGAGACAGTCTGATTGTGAAAAAGAGGAAGAACCTTAGTACAATAGGAGTTTGCTTGGAAGACCCTGGCCTTACAAAAAGTTTTCTGAATTCTCCTAGTTACTCATTTACGAAATTTTACAACAGGAAGAAACTAAAATGCCCAAAATGTCCAATCAAGAGTGTGGTATGTACCCACTGACAAAAATGGAAAGTGCTTATCCAAGAATAAGAAGTTAAGATACAGAATACAGAGGCTCTAGTGCCCAGTAAGCTGACTCCATCCTGTCTTTCCTAATATGAGCAGATATAAAATGGCAGAAGACACAAGTGCTCTAAAATGAAATGGTAGCCAGGGGTAGGGGAAAATATGAAAATTGGAAATCCTACTGAACTAGAAGAGAGCTCCCCATTTTCTTTTCCCTCCAGAATCTCCTAGCCTGGACTCAGAGAATCTAAAGCTGGAAGTGGGAATGGGGCACAAAAAGTGGACTGAAGGTGCTCCAGAAGAAGGTTCTTGTTCAAGCACAAGAAGCAAGAAAGGGAACACTTAATAGTCAGAGAAAAAAAGAGTAAATCTCCAAGATTTAAAAAAAAAAATTTCCCCCATTTTCTTAAGTATTTCATGCCCCAGCTTCCAGGCCATCCAAAAAGTACCATTGGTGGTAGCCATCACAGGCAGGAGCAGGGGTCTACAGTGCCCAAAAGTCTGAGGGAGGAGATAGTTATTGAGAAACCAGGACGGGGTTTTGGTGAGAGGGATCACAGTATCAGAACTGAAATGTTAGATATGATATAGGCCAGTGCCTACAAGACATATCATGTGGATCTGTCACAGGTAGTCAGAAATGTAAATCTAGAACTCAGAGGAAAGGTCTGGGCTAGAATTATGTTTGTGAATCATCTGCATTTAGAAGTTATTTAAAGCTAAACACTTGATATATTTTCTCCTTATTACTGAGTAACAGGCAATTACTAAGGTTTTCCTGCAGCATTCGTTAGAGCATTTTGCTGTAGTAAAGTGAAAGATAAGTACAATTATTACAAATCTAAAGACAGAGACTATTCGACCACTGGAAAAAGTTAGCAGGATTTTATTTGGTTCTAGGATCTGGGGCCCGGCTCTTAAACCAGTGGTCTTTAGACTCTGCTTACATACTTCCTAAAAAATTTTTTTAAACTTTATATTCCCTCCCACATTTTTGAATTTGCATCTAAATTTTTTCATCATAAATTTAAACAGTGACAAGGGAGGTGATTTTGGATATGATATAACTAATGACAAGTTTAAAATTAAAATATCACATCATTTTAAATTAAATATAATAAAAAAATGTAAAAGCCAAAGTAGTTTCATTCACACCATAACCCACTTAAGAATACATATCAACTAATTCTTTTTCAATTGTCAAAAATTTAACATCATTTCTTTTTCTCCTTGAATCCATATTTTCATTCCATTTCCCTCACAAAATTTTATCCTAATATACCTTATTTTGTTGCTTGAAAATATTCAGTCACTAACATAGTTGTTTGCAATAAAAACACGCACATGAACTGGTCCAACCACTATGAAGAGCTGTGTGGAGATTTCTTGACCTACTAAACATAGAGCTTCCATATGATCCAGCAATTCCACTCCTAGGTATTTACCCAAAGGACACAGAAACATCAATTCCAAAGAACACCTGCACCCCTATTTTTATAGCAGCACTATTTACAATAGCTAAGCTTTGGAAACAACCCAAATGCCCAAAAATAGATGACTGGATCAAGAAGATATGGTCCATATACACCATGGAATATTACTCAGCATTCAAAAAGATAAACACATGCAATTTGCAGCAACATGGATGGAGCTAGAAGGGATCATGCTCAGCGAAATAAGCCAGAAAAAAAAAGAAAAATACCAGATGGTCTCACTCATAGAAGGAATCCAGAAAACTTAATTAAGGGACCAGGAAAAAGAAAACTATAAGAAAGAAAATATCAAAATCAACAAACAACTATGAAGCAGAGATACTATATTGAGGGTGAGGCCGGGGAAAGGAGGGAGTGGGGTCAAAATTAGGGGTTTATAATTGTATGGGGAATATAAAAATAAAATTTAAATAAAAAATTAATAATCAATAAATAAATAATAAATAAATAAAAACATGCACATGCTATTATCTTTGGTTCTATAAAGATGTATTATTTTGTCTCCGTATTTTGCTATTAAATAGATAAAACTGATTAAACTACATAAATGACATATTTATAGAAATTCTAAGTATAGAAGCTTAAATTTTATGGTAAACGTATCTTTAATGAGATAATGGGTCCTTTTTCCAATTAGTTTACATATCTGTGGATATTATTACTTATTGCTACAATTAGACACATCCTTTATTTTCTTTTTTAATATTATCTCTGGACAAATACTTTGAAAAAACATGTATTCACATAAAAGTAGGAATAAAAGATTTATTGTAGCAATAGCTTGCAATTATTTGAACCCTTCAGAGATAAACAAGTAAAATCACATGGTAATGTACCATAAAAAAATTATTTTTAATGAGTCATCAGCTGACCACTCAATTAGGTCCTCCTTTAACTTTGTTGAAAGAATTGAAAAGCTCCTGAGTTTCAAAAGCATTATTATAATTATTTTCCCCTCTCACCTTTACACCAATAATTTGAATTGTCTTCTTGTCTGGCACTTCAGATGTTTCTCCACCCAAGGGCAATGTGCTACTTTAACCTCTGAGAGGGAGGGAGGCCTTTCTTTCATTAACTGGGAGGAAGAGGGGAGGCGATTACATAAGAGGAGGTGAGAAAGGAGAAAGTAGGAAACAGCAGATCCTTTAGATAAAGGTGGGAGTGGAATATCCAGAAACTGGATCTATCTAGTAAATCTATCTTTGGGCCATTTTTTGCCTTTTAGAAATCTTTTGCACCCTCCATTAACTTAAACTAATTAGCATTTCTTGCCTCATATCCCGTCTTGAGATAAAAGGCAGGAAAAAAAAAAAAGAGGTAGGAAAGAAAAAATAAACCCAGCAATATTTTTTGATAGTGTGGTCCATAGAGATTAGGAAAATTCCTGCGGAAAGGAGGTGGAGGGGAGGCAGGCAGTGGTTAGGTGTCCATAGATAGGATATTATTGAGACAGCTCTTCAGCCCCTCAATAATTGGGGGTGAGGAGGGTTAAGAACTAAGTATTAAGAGGCCATAGTTGACATGCCTCTAGTGAAGAAGAAGCATCTTTCAGTGTGCTATACAAATACTATATTTTTGTGTGTCCTGGTGTCAAATGTGTGGGGAAACACCGAAAACTAATTTAGCAACATATGAACCAAAAGGTCTGAGTGGTAGTCAAAAGGCTCTGCCTGGAAGCTATTATCTGTCCTGCAGACATCTTTGGCTTGGCAGATAAAATAACCACAATTAAAAGAATAATTCAGGGCCTCCCCGGTGGCGCAGCGGTTGAGCTCTGGGTTGCGAAGCTGCCCGTGGCCTCTGCGGCGCCGGTTCGATCCCCGGCTGCTCCCCGGCCACTGGAGGAGGGTCCCACATGGTGCGCAGACCTCTCCTGCCGCCCACTGCTCCCCTCAGCAGTGTACCTCAGTCCTTCTGCCTGCTCTGCTCCCCGCTCTGGCCTGGTGAATTCTCTCACCCTCCCGTGCTTCTGACTATACCCAGTGCATGTATAAACAAACAAACAAATAAATAAAACATGCCTCTATTAAAAAAAAAGAATAATTCACATGCAAAACTTAAAAAATTCCATAAAAATCTAGATATCTGGCTTCTCATGAGAAGTTGATACTGAGGTGTAGTCTCATTGCAGCCGTCAGCTAGCAATGAGTAACAGTTGCCCCTGAAACACAAGGTATGCCCTTTCCATTTTACCTGCCTTCTTACTCCCCCTAAATTAGTTGTACACTACCCCCACTCCATCATTACATGTTTTTTTTTTTTACTGTTCTAGAGCACAGCCTGCCCTCACAATACCTTAAACAACCCATGGGCACACCAGCTATCTCAGCAATAGTCTCAAAAACAGAACTTAGAAAGGGAACTTAATACTTTTTATCCTAAAAATAATACACATGCATTATAGAAAGTTTTGAAAATAAAATGAAAGGTTATTAAATCAGCAGCAATGTTGCTACCCCTGAATGATCACTGTGAGTGTCTCATAAAGCATTTTTCTGCTTTTTTTCTATTGCTACATATAAGGCTACACTGGCACATGTCATTCTCTGTGAGCTTCTATTTTTGTGCACTTCAAAGCTATATTTTCCTTTGTATTTGAAACCATGGGATTTGTTTGGCAATCATGATTTCCTATAAATAAAAATCATCTGCTAACCTTATTCCTCAATACAATATTGCATACAATGAATTTTATATCATAGTTAAACTTATTTAGAACCAACTAGCTGCACTAACTTTTATAACATTAACTTGCTTAAAATTGGTTTGAACTTCTCCTAGGGCATAGTAAATGCTTTAGAGTTAAGACAATAAAGTTGATCACTTGGTTCTGGTACAGAGCTTTGTTCTATCACTTTTGGTTTCAGAATCTCACATATCTATAACAGATTATTGTCAACTGGATGTGGCCTGTATTTGTACTGTGTCATTTGTCCATGTGTATACTACAAAAATATTTGAGAGATAGCTGGTTAAATGATGAGAACAAGGACCAATAAACACTTCATCTCTTTATCCCTCTGATATTACAGAATTTATCAGCCCCTAGACTTCAAGAAGAAAACAGACATCCAAATTGATTGAAATTAAGTTTCTGTCAACCTCTTTCTTGCTGTCCTTCCGGGGTTTATGTAGAAACTAAGTTTATTAAATGGCAGGCATACAGAAATATAAGGTAACACTCCCCCAAAGTCAAAGTTTATGATGATTCATCCTTGTTTTGTTTCTCCCTATGAAAGTACACTGTTTGGAGACTGGCATTTTTTATGGAGTTACACTGTGACTATGTAAGCAAAATTACAGCAACAACTTTATAGAAACAACAACTTTATAGAAATGACTGAAGAGGTGAAAACAGTAGTTATAGCTTCTGTTTTAATTGGTACCAATTAAGTTTCAGATTATTTAAGATTCCAGGAATAACTGTAGTTTGACAGATGAGAAATTAGGAATTTATGAAATTATGTGGGGGCTTCCTTTTCTCTCTAAGTAAAACAAAAGCTTGTTGCTGTTGTTTTAGTATGGCTCTTTTAGGTCAAGTGGAAAATGATGTTTATTGTGAATTTTTTTGTGCTGTTAGGCCTTTCTTTCTGTTGGCTGTAGCAACTTTAATAACATTGAAAACCATTTGAACTATTAACAGCCATAATCTGGTTTTAAAGTTATTCCATATTGAACTTTTCCTTACTGTATTATTATGCATTTGTTATTTTAACATATATTTACCAAATATGTCAGGCATTAAGCCACGTGTTGAGAAAACAGGATGAAAAAGACACCGTCCTTTTCTGGTAGGAGGTCTTAGTGTAGAGAAAGATGACCAGCTGCACTACAGGGCGATGATGCCAGAGTAGAATGAAGTATGCGGTGAGGTATGCATGGGAACACAGTGGCCTAACACCAAGCTGGAAGAATGATTAAAGATGAGGAAAGAAGATGGTGGCAGTTTAAAGGGATTAGTAAGTTTCCCAGTTAAAAAAGTAAAGAAGGTCATTCGAAGCAAGAGGAGTTTAGTCAGTTTAGTGAGAAAGCAAGGTAAATTACAATATTGGTAACTGGGAGAGCAGTTAGGAAGCTGGTGGTACAATCACCCAGGTAAGGTATGCTAACAGCTTGACGCTAGATAGTGATAGTGATAACAGTGAAAAGAGGATTCAACTGACAATACTTAGGATGGAAAGTTATGAAGACCTGATAACTTTCTCAGTGTGAAAGACTCTCTGGTCATAGTTATTACAAATGCTCATGAAAGTGTTTGCTCTTTTTTTGACAAAATTTGCAGGCAAACCATATATCTCAGCCATACAGCAGGAGAGGAGAAGGGAGAGGGTTCAAAACAGAGGAGGGAAGAGGACAGGGGATTTTGGCGATGGTCACGGGTGCTGTGATGGTGGAGAATTATGGGGACTACACATGAGGGGAGAAATCAAATATTGAACAGAAATGAAAAATCATGTAAGAAAATAAAAAAATAAAATAAAATTGAGAACGTTTTCATGTAGCAAAAAAAAAGAAAAAAAGAAAAGAAAATGCTTGCTCTTTTTTATTGGCGTAATATTCAGATTAAAACAAATAACGTTTGCTCATACCTTTGAGTCCTGAAATTTTAAGTTGAAATCTTCTCATCCTCTTGAACAACAAAAAAAAAATATTCTGATGGTTTCATCTCATCAGCACATCTTTTTCCAAATCATAAAACCACCATTTGCTAAGAAGCTAACAAAAAAAAATGGGGATGTGGTTCTTTAGAATTGCAGCAATTTCACATCTCTGCTACCACAATCTACACCTGTTCATACACCCACCTCCTGTCATTATTAATAGTTCTCTGCTTTCTCAATTTTTCCATTCAAACCTAATTAAAAGAAAAATAAGCTGACCACCAAATTGAGTGAGTCACTTTTAAAGTCATTCTTATGGTTAGTGGAGTTTCGGTTCTCAATTTTTTTTTTAAAATAATGAGTTATCCTAAATGTCCAAAAATGTGATTGACCTTCTTAAATGTATCAGAAAGCAGGAAGGGAATGGCAACATATTGTTAATTTAAATTTAGGACTCAAGTAATGTACTATGATAGGTGTGATTTGAAGAAAAGAGTGTGTCGCTAATGTCAACCTGCATAATTCTGAATCAAATGGGAAAGGTACGTCTCAGTAGGCTCTATACATATAAGTTGCAAGGCCTAATATTCCATTTGTTAGAAACTTCAAAAGCTTTTTGAATAAGCACATTATCAAATGAAGCATATTACCATGCTTTTGTTTTTTTTAAAGATTTATTTATTTATTTATTTATTTATTTATTTATTTATTTATATAAGCACTGGGTACAGTCAGAGGCATGGGAGGGAGAGAGAATTCACCAGAGCCAGAGTGGGGAGCAGAACAGGCAGAATGACGAAGTACACTGCTGAGGGGAGCAGCGGGCGGCAGGAGAGGTCTGCCACGCCATGTGGGACCCTCGCTGGTGGCCAGGGATCGAACCGGCGCTGCAGAGGCCGCGAGCAGCTTCGCAACCCAGCGCTCAACCACTGCGCCACCGGGGAGGCCCATATTACCATGCTTTAAACTTGAACCATTTTTTTCTGCATATGCCCTTAAATTTAACGTTAAATGCTATTGGTGTAATAAAATATTTAGAATTTTATTACCAATGGCACTTAAAATAGTAAAATTAAGAAATATGGGAAATTCTACTAACAATACTCTGAATGTACAAAACAGAAATCTGGGCCTTTTTAATATAACAAATGAGTTTCTGTAATTTCAAATTACAGAAGAAACCATGAAGATTATCTTGCTCAGTCCTCTAATGCTAGGGAACCAGGGACCAGAAAATTATCTGATATAACCAACATGACAAAATTCGTTGGTAACAGCCTTAGAATTTAAGTGAAAGTTCTTCTTGCCTGTCGGTGACTTTACCACCAACATAGTTGAACCAGAGAATGAATTATGCTATATTTTATGTAAATTGTGATTTTCATATTTCTATTCAGTATGCTTAAAGGAAAAAATATTCAAACAATCACATCTGTCAAATTAAAATTAGAAAAGATGGAAGTTAGGTGGAGACATAGCCTAAAATAATCAGAAGTGAATTTTTTTCACATTTATAAGAATTTTTCTTTGGCATAAACTTTAATGAGACTAAGTTGATCATGCCATGCTCACAGAGACTATGAGCTCTGTTCTAATAAGTAGATATGGATGATAGGTGTCAAGCATGTCAAATGTCTAAGACAAATTGTTCCACTTCATTCTACATTGATGGGGTCTAAAGTCCAGTCATCGTCTTATCAAATTTGTGATTTTCAGAAGTTCTAATTATGGTTATAATAAATTGCAAAAACAAACAGACAAGAAAACCTCAATCAAAGAGAAAGTGTTGACCTGGCAGGAAACTGCACCAAAACTTTCAATGGAGTTCCAAACAAGAACATTCTCTTTCTTTTGACCTTCTTGTTTCCTCTTCATATCATCATGAATATGAAGAGAAACGGGAAGATGGTCATGCTGAAAACATAACATGTAAGAGTTCTTGGGCTTACTGGGACTCTTTGTCTTCACATGCATTATTCAACTGCAGTTATTAAATTCCTTTTTCACAAACTTCTGTTGAGAGTGCTTACAACTAAGGAACACTTGGCTGTTCAGTGGTACTCATTTTCATAAGGGCTGGAGTGGGGGAGGGTTCCTGAAAGAAGTTTCAGGGCAATAAAACAATTACTCAAGCCTTTGCGGCTGAGCCATTATTATTCAAGAATTGGGCTATTCATTAAGGAAATAACCTGGACCCTAGTCATATACTGACAACCCCTTCTATAAAATGATGGCTAACCTTAGTCAATAAGAGAAGAGAACTGACATTTGAGCACCTACAATGTGTTTTACATGTTTCCACATTCTCACAATAGCTTTATAAGAAGTGTATTACCCCATCTGACAAATGAAGAAACAAATTCTGAGAAATGAAAAAAGTTGCTCAAGGTCATACCCAGAAGACTGGTCTATCTAAAATCAAAGTTCAAGTCCATTCCACCAAGCTCTATTTTCTCCAACCTAAAAAAAGGTGGAGGACCCCCAAATCACCATTCAGAATAATAATACATTGTAAAATCAATGTCCTTTGGGTATGAAGAGAATTGGCCTTGCTATGTCATATTATGCCTCTGTTCTGTGCATTTCATCTGCAAAATCTGCTGGCTATCCTTCACTTCGATGGGCCAGAAACTATCTCTATGATTAACTAACTCTAGGGATTGTGTTTAAGAAATACAATTTGATGGTGACTGGGGGAACATTTGTTTCACAGCCATTAAGTCAGACCTAATCCCAGTTTCATTGCAGTGAGATTGTCAGGTGCCAAAAGAAGTGATGACAGGGGGCCGAGGCAGATGTTATGACAAATTAACAAGGGAGGCTGTGGGCCAGGGAAGAGTCAGAAAGTATTTGAAGCATACGTTGCAGTATAATTTCAAGCCATCTAACATCATTGAGTCAGAGAATGTCAGAAAAATAACCTAGTTTTGACAGAAAGAACCACAGAGACAAGACAGCTGAGGCCCCAGCGAGATCTGGTTTTGTCATCAGAAGCTTCACTGCTGTCTAGCTAAGCATTCGGGCTGGCTTTCACATGCAGTAGATTGTGTAAGATGGAACATTAGGTCATGGTCAGTTTGCCAGTCAGTCAAGTGTGTTCTACATTTAGAAGAAGAGGAAAAATTTCTGGGCCCCCGCCCCCTTAAAAGGCCATAGGACAGTCTAAGGTCAATGAGAATGACAATGTCTCGTTTTTTACTTACCCTTTTATGTACGGAAACTATCTCCAGCGTGATATAGGCCACATTTTTATTATCTAACTCCAAAAGCATCAATAATAGCAGAGTATTTTCTTCACTCTCACAAAGATGAATATTAAAGACCTGCTTAATTGTGACAATTCACATACATAAGGGTACCTTTCATCAATGTGAATTGTTTGCTATATATATACTAATTATAAAATGCAAAGATGTGATGAAGGGGCCAAAGAATAAATTGGTTAAAACATAAACATGCAAAAGTAGAAAGGTTTTTCCTAAACACCAGAGGATCTGCAAATAGCATTTTAAAATGTGAGGGGACATGTGTACCATCACACTGATAACTAAAGGTGTGTGAAATAAAAATGCAATGAGTTCATTTTTTTACTGCTAATATTAAAAAAATTATAATATCCAGAGCAATAAAATATACAGTGAGCTTTCTCATACTTAGCTGATAAAAATAAGAATTGCTATGAGCTCTCTGGAAAGTAATTTACTAGTATATTATGAAAGGCTTAAAATATTCATACTGCCTTCTAAAGTACTCTGGGGTGGGGTCAGGCAACCTTGCTTTAACAAGGTTACCAAGAGATTCTGATGCATAAGTTTGAGAAACACTGCCCAGGGAAGTCTCAACCACTCCCATGGTTTAAAGACAACATGTAGGCAGATGACTCCTGAACCTACATTTATACCCCAGGTGTACATTCTAAATTCCAAGCCCCGATAACCAAGTACCCACATGACATATACTATTGATATTTCATAGATGCTTCAAAATAAATTACATTTATGTTCAGATATATTGTACCCAAATCTTCCTGCCCTCCAGTGGCACTGATGATAAGTGATAAATGGCATTAACATTCTATTCAAGTCAGAAATGCAAGTATCATCCTTGACTCCTCCCACCTTCTACCACCTCATCCCTACATCCAATCAAGCATTATTTCCTAAAGATTTAAAACATTACTATGGATTGAATTGTGTTCTCTAAAATTCATGTGTTGAAGCCCTAACTCCCCAATGTGACCGTCTGGAGACAGAGGTTTTAGGAGTAACTACAATTAAACGAGTCCAATAGGACAATGCCCTTGTAAGGAGAAGAGATGGAGTTTCTACCATGTGAAGACAGAGTAAGCATGTGGCCATCTGCAAGCCAGGAAACCAACCCTGTGGACCTTGAGATGGGATTTCTCACTTGCAAAACTGTGAGAAAATTAATTTTTGTTGTTTAAGTCACCAGTCTCTGGTATTTTGCTATGGCAGTCTACTACAATTATCTATAACCTGGCCATTTCCTTTTATCTCCATTGCTACCATCCTGTACAGACTATTATCATCTTTTGCCTGGACTATTGCAATATCCTTCCTTCTAGCCATTTTCTATCCAGATTTGTCTCACCTCCTTCAAAGCATTCTCTACATTGAACTAGGGTGATAACATCATATCATGACTATTTAAAATCCCTCAATGGTTTCCCACTATCTTCCACATAATGCCAGGTACTTAACATAGTTTTGTCAGGATGAAGTAAGAAATATTAGCTTAAGGATTCCAAGCCCACCTCAATATACTGCTCCCTGGTCCATTCTTCTATAGACTCTTGCTGTCCAGTATGTATATTGCCTCAACAGCACCCTCCTGGTAGGCTGCTCTTAGTGTCATTTTTCAGCCATGCTAGAAAATATCTGGTAGCCCCCCACAGCTCCCTGAAGTCACCTTTATCTATGAGGTAGGTTGTACTCAGGTCCCACCTCTCAGGTACCCCCTGCAGTCCTTGGGTGTGTACTCTCACTCGGCAAGTATATTTCACAATTTTTTCTAATGCCCAGCTTGTTAGTTTGCTGGTTTATATTTAAAAGTCAAGAATTTGAAGTTTTGGGCCTCCCTGGTGGCGTAGGGGTT